GTGCGGTAAGTTGATAAATACAGCCGAGGCGATATTGCTATAAGAAGGCAGAGGCTGTAATTCAAACTGCACTTATGTCATACGACGTTTTATAACACATTTGCGAGGTAATAAATATGCTAAAAACACACTTTCTTTAAAATAATAAAATTTATGTTTATAATTGCTATTTTTTCTTTCAAATGTTTAATACTTGTAAAAGTATTCATTTGACATTGTGGGTTACCTACAATGCGAAAGATGGCGCTGCCTTGCAGCTTAAGAATGGCTAGGAGAATTTCGACGCGGTCCGTGAGGGCCGCGATAGCATAATTGGTCAGTGCATTCGCTCGGATTGCGAAGGGTTCGAGTCCCGTCTGCTACCTGGTCCGCGTGGAATTTTTTCTAGCTGTAATTCTTTTTAGCACAAGTAACATTTGGGTGCAAGTATTGCGTTTTGTGTTAAATAAAAAAATATGTTATTGAAAAGAAAAACTATTGTAAATAATTTTTTTACGTATAGATTATGTCCTTGGGATGTCATTTTTGCAAAAAAGTGAAAATTACAAAAAGTGTCGATCACTGCAAGTACAATTAGCGAGGCATATTGATGTTGTGTTATCCCCGAAGCGATGTGTGTGTAATTTTATATACTGGGAGCTGTTCTGTTACTTATGTTGTATATTCATTAGTATTATATTATACATTAATAAGACTGTGTTGTCTGTTCCGATCGTTTCGTTTTGGATAAGTCAGTTTTGTAGTAAAATTTAAATGGCTACTAATTCCCTATTAAGTATGGTATTTACGCATTTGCACCGTTTAAGGATATTTTGTAATTGTTAAGTTTCTCAGGTAACTCAAAATTCACGTTGTTATAATGTATAAACATAGGTAAATGTAAATATGTGATGTACATATTTTGACGAAGTGCTACAAAAAATATTTTTGTACCAATTTTTTAATAAACGTTAAGAAATATAAAATGTATCTTTATTTTATTAAATTTTGACTCTTCACTTTTGTAGGAGGAGTTTGCCATACTGTTGGTGGATTAACCATTGGCGTAGCTAGGAATTTTTCAGTCTTCCAGTTGAACGAACATTCTGAAATTAATTCACCATTGTTCACCATTGTCTTGGAGAACTGACCCCTGTCCTCTCACTTTAGTTTTCCCCTGGGACTTTTTTTATATAGCCAGGTAGGGGGCCGTTCAAGTATTACGTAAGCAGATTTATTACAATTATTTACCCCCTCGTCAGCAAAAGTAAGCAAAGCTCTTACCCCTCCCCCCCATCCTTACGTAAACATTGGTACCTGCATATAGGTTTTTCCTTTAATGTATTCTGTTTTTTTTTATTGATTCATGAGCTTTCATGAGCAGCAGTACTTTAAAAGGCTTAATCGATGATGCTGACGTAATCACCATCTCTACCCCCCACCACCCCATGTCATCAAAAATAAGCAAAGCAAAGACCCCCTGTCCCCCTATAGTGCTTACGTAATACTTGAAAAGCCCCTAGGCAAATGACTCTATTCCACCTGATGTTAAGATGGGACTGACATAAAACTAAAATGAAACAACGACAGCGGTTATTTGAATAGTTCAACATTTATTTATACATTTGAAATAGAAGGTGTGTAGCCACCAGGTGGGAGGAGGGACGGGCATCAGAGGCCAGGGGACGGGAGGAACTCGGGGGAGAGGACAGGGGACGCGTAGGCAGGGGATGGGAGGGTAGGGAGGTGGCCTGTCTACTCGTACTCTTACCTGTGCAAAAATATATAACGGTGCCGCGCCGGCTCGCCCGGCACGCCTCCAACCAAACGTTACTCTATACAACAAGTATATGTATGTTTACGTAGATCTATATAGTCGTAGGGTATATTAAATATTAACCAACAAAATATAGAGATTCTAAGTGTAAGTAATGCGGCGACGTTGCGCTGCCAACGACTCAAGGGCGGATCCAGCTTTGGCGCCAGGGGGGGTCATATAGCCAGCTTGGCGCCAGGGGGGGGGGGGTCATATAGTCGTGGTATATTAAATATTGAATGTACTTAAATAAAATACCCTGGGTTTGGTCCATCTGTAACCAGCCCAGGGGGGGGGTCATGACCCCCCTGACCCCCCCCCCCCTGGTTCCGCCCTTGCACCGACCCCCCGCCCCGCGCCGCACCCGTCGCCACCGTGTTTAGGTAACCCGTGTGCATCTGGGGCCATCTACTATGCACAACTTATTCCATTTCATTGGTCATAAATTATACATTGTTTCAAATTCAAAGATGGAGAAGCCACTGCCGGGGTTGCGACGATGTGCGACGAGGGGCGTCATCTTTACATTTATTTGTGCCAAAGTTCGGACGCTTCGAGTATTGTAAATAGTCATTTAAATTGGTTTTCTTTGTAAAATACATAACTAAATACATTTAAAATTTGCGATTTAACAAATATGTATTTTTAACAATTAAAGTTCGCGGTCATCTAAAGAAAACTAGACATTCTTTTAATTTAACCTAAGAAGTTATTATGGAAAACCGGAATGCGTCCGATGTTTAGCGAAAAAATTCATGTAGCTACATTTATCATTACAATAATTCAATATTTTTATAGCATTTAATTAATAATAATTAAAGTAGCGTGAACATGGACGCCGCGGAGCACTCATTCTTGGAGTATAGTTAGTTTATAACTGGACGAAGCAAGCGTTGTACATTGTGCTGGCTTGTGGCTCATCAGACAATCAATCATATTACCCAACTACCGTAGCATGACACACGTAATACATATTATACACTAATTCTTTGACAGTTACATAAATCTGTAAATCGTTCTGTAGTCATGCTTCTCCCATTCCTGCCCGACGAAGCTTTGTCAGCATGTCAAAAATCGCCAGTTAAGCTTTCGCCTATCGATACGCAGCTCGATAATTCATTAAGATGAAATTAATTCAAGTTTCGATGCCACCCGAAGCTTCGTCGCGCAGGCGCGGGAGATGCGTTAGGGTGCGGCCAGAGTGCACTCAGATTCAGATTCAGATTCAGATTTCGAAAACAAGCGCGAGAAATAAACAGTGTAGTCGAAGGGTACGGCCAGATTGCACTCTTGATTCAGATTCAGATTCGGACTCAGAAAACAAAGCGCGAGAAAAAGCAGGCAACCTGCTTAGAATACACTTTTTATTTCTCGCGCTTGTTTTCAGAATCTGAATCTGACTCTGAATCTGAGTGCACTCTGGCCGCACCCTTGCGGTGGTGAAGCTACGATGGGATCCGCCCGCCACCTTACGATGAGCCGAGTCTACTAGTAGTAGTACTGACTCTAACGCCCTTATTAATAAACGAGGAATGATCTAAGATTAGTTACGCCCTGTTCTGTTCACATCACTCAAATTCCATTTGTCTGTCAATGAACAAAAAGAGATAAAACATCGATAATATCGATATCGATACAGGAACTAATCCAAGTTTAGTCTTTGTTTATTAATAAGGGGGTATAAGTACATCCCAGCACGACCCCGCTGACGTCACGTCATACCTATCTACAATAAATTCTCTACGTGATCACACAACATGATATGACATCTCATTTCCATAAATTCACATAAACAATATCGTAATATTAATCACACTTTTTATATATATTAACATTCATATAGCGACAGTCGTTACTGCCGTTCTTCGTAATAGAGCCTATAGACAGACATCCGCGCAACACGTGAAGCACCCGCAAATAAAAGTATACTTAAGTAACATACTGTTTAAAGTCTTATATACAACAATAACAACGACTGTATTCTGCACAGTGCAATAATCTCACTCATTGTACTTGTTACATCGAGGCGAAAAAATCCACACCCTAGAAAAGTTCTGCACTGACTGTTGTGACCGTTTGTGCAGTGTGGGGTAGGTTTAGCACACCTGCGGTCGTATGCGATCCAAGCTCGCTCTAGATTAAAACAAAAAGGGAAGATACGGCACTCGCGGCTCAAAAGTGATCCGCTTAAATTGTGGTGCATGACCACAATTCGCTTTAGTCACAATTTGACATTCAAGCACGCTGAATGTGCACTCAGTATAACAATATTGCGTATATTCTGTGTTATAAAGATAAAATAATGCTGTCGATGCTGTTATAAAGAACACAAATAATTCAAAATCAAATGGCTCGGCAACAGTTTTCATTCGTAAAACTGTAAAAACATTATTTTCCTAAAAATCACGGTTAGTCGTGAATGTTATTGACGTAATCGCCATTTTGTTATCAGGAAAAGGACAACAATACAGCTCAGCCGTACGGACTCGGAAGCGGACTCGCCGTTTCGCTAGCGCTGCGTTGAAGCGTACAGTTCTGTGTCGCTCGCTCGATTGAACGTTTTTATATGCACTTTTATGTGTGCGTGTGTAAGAGTTGCTTATGTAGTTGAGTCTGATTATATTTTATTTGATGCTAATATGAGCGTACCGTATCTTCCCATTTTGTTCTAATCAAAGGATCCAAGTCGTCCCATAATACTTATCAATTTAAAATATTCCATGAGAACGAAGGTAACAGAGTATCTCGTACCTATTGAGTACAATCAATACAGGATTATGAAAACAATATTTTCCTAAAGTAATGTTTCCCTCACATCTAATTCGACAGCTGCCGTGCTATTGGAACTGGAACAAAGTCACTTTTCACCGCGGAATGAGAGCTACCGTTTTTTGTCTCACTAGATGGCGCCACTGTTGCGTGAGGTCCTAAGTTAAGCTTTTAAAGTTTGTTAATACGAACAAATCAAAGTTTACATTTGAATCATATTTTAATACGAAAGAACCGTATCGTACACATAATCGGCCACAGTGTTAGGCAGTTTTGTTATGTTTGAAAAAAAAAAGGATAAAATATTTTTTCGCTTCGCTTTTTAATAACTGACATTCATTGACACGTAACTCATATTTACTATAATTAATCTGAGTTATTATCAATAGTTCACAACATTATTTTAATTGGAAATAAACCCGCGTAGTCAACTCACAAGCAATAACATTTGACATTTCGAAGACATCACGATACACAAGCGTCTCCATACGCGATAGCCCTCATTCAGTGATGTGAAATTTCGAATATCGCGCATTTCGAAGTGAAAAGTCAGTTTGTTCTTACAGAATAGCACTGTTGTTCCAGTTATCGTGCACAGATAGCTTTTTAGAATCGAATGAGCGTTCTTCTGAGGGTTTGTGGTGGTGCGAACTCTGGGGGCAGGGGGTTCTTGTGTAGGAGCCCCAGGTTCGTGGTCGGTGGTGGTGCAGTTTATCTGTAGGCCTGCTGGTCGGCCAGGAAGGGGTTGGCTGGCGAGGGCCGCGGCACCGGCGCCTGTCCCGGCACGCCCAGGCTGTCCGCGCCGCTGTAGTTCTGTCACCGCAACACAATACTCCATTAAAAGTTAGCTTAAAATAGTGATCTCTATAAAAACTCATGTATTATTTCTCTCATTCTTTCTCTCTCATCATCATCAGCATAATGTCCCCACTGCTGGGGTAGAGGTTTTCCCTATGGAAATCGAATAGGGAGATTGTTCCATGACCCAGTATGCGCGGGCCCCGTGCGAATTGGTGGATGTTAACGACTGCAGATGCAGCCGGGACCAATGGCTTAACGTGTCTTCCGGAGCACGGAGGAGCTCGTGAGTAAATTTTTCGTCACTCATCCAATGACCAACCACTGTAAAAGTTGCTTTAATTCACAGATCGCAGCCGAACGCACTAACCAGGGCTTGTTTACCGGTTAATTTTCGAACCTAAATCAGTGTCAAGTACATTGGGAGTGCTTTATTTAGGTTTGGCTCTACCTTAACCTTAAAAAAACGTTTTTCCTAAAAAGCGAAATCAAATAGGTTTTGAATCAATTTAGCGGTTTTAAAAGGGTTTCATTTCGCTCTTACTGACGGCCGAAATAAATACACAACTACATAATGAATAACTTGACTCACTAGACGCTAGCAAACGTGTCAATAAATGCATCAATCTCTGAGCATTAACAAGTTGTGACTTGATTAGTTCAAACAAAACAAACTTCAAGCGATGCCGACTCGTGCACGTGTCGCTCTGGATTAAACCGGTTTATTAACTTTTAGGTACCGCTTTCATTTCGGACGCGCTGCGAACGAAACCTTTACTAAAAACCGGTATTAACCTTTATTTACCGGTATTTTTGAAACCGGTTTCAAGCCCTGGCACTAACCACTTGCGCCATCGAGCTCTTCTCCTTCTAATGCTGGTAAATTATTCCACTGCACTTGTAGTCGTTACAGCTGTAACTTTTCTGGTCTGCAATCTATTCTCCTTTCCGATGTACCTTCTACTGAGTCTGTTAGTGTTAGTTAAACAATTCTCTTTCTGAATAATTGTACCTAATGCTTATTTTGCTTAACCGATTTCATGATTTTTCGATTCACCGTATTCTTTTAATTTTAATTTGGTTTTTAATTATGATTTTAATTTTTAATTTTGATTTTAATTATAAATTTGTTCTTTTACTTTAAAATTGTAATTGTCGACGTTGATTGAGACAATTATAAATGTCGTACATGCCTTTAATAAGTGTGCACATCGGGTACTATTATTGTGAATTTTGTATTTGTTTTTAGTATGTGTATGCTGTTGGCGTGGCTAATAAATAAAAAAATATGGGTGCGTGTACTTAAGTACGCGCGTGAGAAGTTATACTTCTTTTTGGAATTATTAAAAAATTGTTTTTAATTGCATGCAGATAATTAATTACAATAAGATAATAAAAGAATTGGAAAAGGATAGTCAACGCAGTCAATAAAGTTCAGTTTTAATTTGAAAAATTAATAAATAATCAAAATTATTCAATTTAAATCACTACTGAATAAAATTTATTAGCACATATAAATTTCGCATTTGTATAACATTATAACACGTGTTAAGAATATAGAAACTAGAAACATGTGGATAAATATTATAAATATGAAAATAGTGATCAGAGGCGACGGGCGTCCCAACATGTGCGACTAAGAGATCCTATTACTATTTTGTTGGAAGCTTTTTTTCGAGACTTACGAGTAAAAAAGAGTGTTCTCAATACCAAATGTTACTGTTGCTACCTCTTTTGCTAAACGCTTCGGAATCTTTCTCGGTCCATACATTTATAACCAACTAGTTAACATATCGAATCTCAAGCACAGCTCTGTTCGGGAGATGCGAAATAACATCTCAAAAATGTTATTAAAATGGTCCTATGACAGAACAGAGAATCTTTTAAGGATAATGATATGATTATACGCATACGCACACAACACACAGTTACACACACACACACACACACACACACACACACACACACACACACACACAAAACACTCACATACATACAAACATACGCGCATCACCAATGTATCCATTCTTTTAAGTTGGTTGTATTTTTAGGCCGTAAGTTATATATTGTTAATTTTTTACTTCCCCATAGGACGGGCTTCGCCTAGTATGGGTGACTGTTATGTCTTATTGTAATTTTGTTTATGAATAAATAAATGGATTATTATTATTATGTGCGGTTTAGCGGCCGACTTCATGGTGTTACTTTTCTGTTACAGTGTTGCGCGCGCATCTTAAAATTTCACTCTCATCATTTTTTCATAACGCGCCCGCGGCTAACTTCATTATGTTACTTTTGTGTTACAGTGATGCGCGCGCATCTTAAAATTTCACTCTCATAATTTTTTCATAACGCGGCTAAAGAAGTATAACTTCAATAAATAAATGAATAGTGACCTGCGTAGCGCCGTAGGAGTCGTGGTGCGCTAGGTCAGCGAGGCGCGTGGAGGAGAGCGCGCGCGGCAGCGGGTTGGAGGGGACCCCGTGCGGCGCCAGCACGCCCGCCTCGGCGACCGCGCGCGCCTCCTCGTCGGCGCCGGGCCCGCCGCCCCCCCCCACGCCCGCGTCCGCGTCGCCGTCGCGGAAGTTGACGAACGCGAACGCGGCCAGCGCCACCGCGCACAGCAGCCCGTACCCCGCGAACGTGCGCGTCGTGCCCCACCGCGCCACGGCCACGCCGCCCAGCACCGCGCCGCACCCGCGACCCAGCCCGTGGTGCAGACCTGCCCGCATATTCAGTATAAGTCGCGGCGCGAAACTCTAGCGCTGACCGTTAGGCGCTTTGCAGACGACGGAACGGGGCGGGCTTTTTATCCGCGAAGCAATAAAAACAGCGTCTGCCCGTCGATGTCTGCGGCTGCCCTCGCCGCGTACACAAAGCACACGACGGGCAGAGGCAGTTAGTTCAGGACGTTCGTTCTAGTGAATAGTCCATCACAAAAAAGCGCGTGGCGCGGACTGAGCTAGCCGCCCCGCGCCGCCGTGTACGTTACTGCATATAAACTGGTTTGTATGATCCACGGCGGGCAGCCGCGGACATGCCGCGCCGCCAGTGCCCGCCAAGCACCTGCGGCGCGGTCTTCTTGCCGTCTGTGTGCGTTTGTAGTATAGGATTCACTTTGTGCTATCATTCGCGGCGAAATTGACCGGCCCGCTCCGCCCCGCCGTCTGCAAAGCGCCTTATTGTGCAGAAGTAAACATTAGGATGTCTTGGGGGAAAACAGAGGTACGCGGTCGGGCTTGCTTTGCGCCGATTGGCTTTCCAGTCGTACCCATGCGGAGCTATCCCCTCTGCGTTTTGTTCAGCGCTAGAGTTACATGCCGCGACCTGTATACACGATGATGCATCGCTCGATTATCCCTCGAGTGATTGTTCACGGCGCTGATGCATAAACGAGAGGAACATTGGTCAGAGTGAATTGGGACGACGACCGCAGAAAAGTAGCAATTTTTATTATATTAAGGGTGCGGATTCGAGTCCCGTCCGCTGCCTGGTCCGCGTGGATTTTTTCCTAGTAAACTTTTCTTTAGATTTAAACGTCTAGCAGTTAAATGCTTAAAAATAAATAAAAACATAGCAATCTTTATGTTTGATAAAAATATAATGTTGAAGGAATGTAGACAACGACCCTTGCCATAGTAATGAACAATTAAAAAATCAATAAAGTTCATATTTATAACCTAGATGGCGCCACCTTCGTTGCTTTCTTGTTCGTTCGTTCATAACTATCCACTCCGTGCATTTTGTAACTTATATTTAAATAAAATCGTGATTAACTACTAAATAGTGTTTATTTTATCAGATAACTTTTAAACTGGAAAATTAACAATAAGTAAACCTTTCAAATTACTTCAGTGCATAAATGTCAATGAAATTGCCGTACACATTAAAATATTTTCGCAGGACTAAAAGCATAATCAGAAAAACTATTAACACAATTGCGGAAACAAAACAATACCGCAATATAGAATTCACATAGCACCATCATTTGCCCGAAAGCGTACCTCGATACTTAAATTAAGTTTATTTGCGGTCGAACATGCCGTAGGATTATTGGTTCCCATCAGAAACTCAAAAACATAATACACATTAAACTAACGACGATCGTTTAAATGATTAGAAAGATCACAAATTATCTTTTAATAGCATTTCTCCTGCATTTTAATTAAAAAAATAATAAATATTTCCGACACTCACACCAATTAGCCTAGCCCCAAAGTAAGCACTATAAGGCTTGTGTTATGGGATGCTAGGGTAACGGATAGAATACATATACTGTACATATATAAGTATATTTATATAAATACATATTAAACATCCATGACTGGAGTACAAATGCTCGTATTCATCACACAAACATCTGCCCCCACCGGGATTCGAACCCGGGACCTCTCGAGTCGGCGACAGCCATGAAACCCGGCGTACAAACCACTCGGCCACGGAGGTCGTCATTTTAGATAGACATTAAGAGATGTAGTGTATGAGAGAACCTTGCAGCACGCCCTGCGCGGAGGAGCGTAGCCGCGGAGGGGTGCCGTGCGCGATGTAGGAGCAGCAGGCGGCCCACACGGCGGCGTGCGTCACGCCCTGCACGAACTCGAACGGCAGCACCCACCACGGGTTCGTCAGCCACGAGATGTACAGGAACCGCAGCACGTTACCCGCCAGCCCCAGGCACAGCACCTAAGTCACACGCACCAGCATCATACTACACCGTACACATGTAGCGAGATCATTAAAATTTCGCAACAATCTCATACTCTACGAGCTCTTGCGTCGAGCGAAATCATAAAAATATCCAATGTTAGCGTTACAATATTCAAGATCAGATTGATCACGAGTGGATTGTGGATCTACTCCAAAATTCCTGATCATTTAACTTCTCTAGATCTAACTTAAACAAATCTGAACAAAACCTGAAATTCAATGATTTAATTTGTATATACCTTTAAAAGAAAAAGTTATTTTGTTATTATGTAGAGTAGTTATTTAGTTACCTTAATGTATACCTTAATATGTATGAGAACCTAGGGAGGAGCAGAACCGCCCAACACAAGCATTACTACATGCTTCCTGGGTAGTTCTGGCCACAGAATAACATTGTAAAATAAGGTTAACGAATAAACTATTTTATTTTATTTATTTATAATGATTAATATTTGTACTTTACCTTAACATGGCCTAGTTGAGTGATCAGCTTAAAGCTAAAGAAGTACGCGAAGATCTCTGAGATATGGTTAATGACGGAGGCGACGCCGAACAGCGTCGGTGATCCGTCGATATCCTGCAGGATAACGAGGAGGAGATGACAAAATATTTGTAAGTTACATTTACTCCGTGAGATTACGAATTGGAAAGAATTTGTAAAAGTCAAGGATAAGCATAGATTAAGTTCACTATGGTGTCCATTCTGACATGATTCTTTAAAACTAAACATAAATTTGATAACAGTGTATCCTTGTCATTCTCTATACAAAATGAAAACGAGAAACTGATGTTAAATTTAGTTTTAAGTTTGGAGAATCATGCCAAAATCGACAGCTTTGTCTTTACTGCAGTATTTGGAGTGATTAGTAAACCTGCAAGTGCCAGAAGAGGAAGGTGAAGATGAGGCCGATGCCGAAGCCCATGAACCAGGCCACCAGCAGGAAGGAGGCCGCCTTCACATTCTGGAACTGACGCAGCACCGTCACCCACTCCGGCATCTCGCGCGTGGTCTGTGCGAATACCTGTCCCACAACAATTTCTCATTGGTTAACTAAATTGTGATAGTTCTCTTACCAGGTTTTTACGGTACAGTGTTGTGTCATTAAGGATTTCGGACGATTTGACGAAAATAAACACTGTAAACTGTTGGCTGGAAGTTCTCCTTTTAAAGGTTTCTCCATGTGTCTTTTTTACGTTAAAATAGTGACACTCAAGTACGAGTAGCTCGCCTGACGATAAATGACCGCCACAATCTATAGACGATAGAGACATGGATTTTTATAATTATACTCCTAACTCTTTGGAGCCCTAGAACCTGACAAAAATACCACACCACTCTAAGATACTGCTATTCTTCTAAAGTTAATAGTCCGGTTTCTCAAGTCAAGTTAAAAATCTCTATTCATAGAGATATTTTCTTCAGAAAATAGTGAAGAATTTGGTGAAACAGATGTTGTAGTTATTAAAATTTGTATTGGAGCGCCCGCCTGGGGAAGTAATCTCCACCTTAGAGAAGACCACTGTAAAATAACATTACCTTTTGATGGTGTTATATTTCTGTCGGTGAGTAAGGTTCTCCGCGAGATGGGGGTTGGGGTCAGGGTAGGAAACGGCACGAGTGATATTTTGTGGCCGCTTACCGTCGGGGGAGCATAAGTTTGTTTGCCACCCTTTTAATATAATAGAAAATTTGAGAGACCTTGGCGGCCTGTAGTGGCGGCTGCTGTGGCGGCGGCGCGCTGGTGTCGAGGCCGGGCAGCTGCAGCTGCTCTGCGAGCTGCTGCTGCAGCTTCTCCTCGTGCGTGGGCTCGGCAGGCGGCGGTGCTGGCGCCTCCAGCTCACTGCTCACGAACTCGTACTTGAAGCGTATCTAAACAAACGACAACATTCGGATATTCCTAAAACTGAAAGAACCTATCATACCTAGTAAACATTCGCTGAAAATAAGTCATCACATTTCAGAAATTAAATTTTCTACACTACTCGTACACGATGCACTCGTGAAATTTTAAGTTGATAACAAACAGTGAAATATTGATCGTGACTACAGCTTCCGACCTGCGATAACTTTCGCGATTTTTGATTTAATTTGACTTTCGCAACAGCCGGTCATCGCATCATCATCATCATGAGCCTGCTAATGTCCCTTCTGCAGGGGAAGAGTCCTTTCCTATGGATTAAATAGGGAGATATGGCCGTTAGTCACGCGGGCCCAGTGCGTATTGGTGGGCGCTTACGACAATAAGATAATAAGTTTTTGGTTACCCATTTAATGACCGCCAACTGCAAAAGTTGCTTTACTTCAAAGACTGCAGCCCAACGCGCTGAAGTGGTCAGCGCGTTGGGCGTCGTCGAGTTTCTCGCAGCAATGTCCAAAAATATATCTGCGAGCTGTTCCGTGCTTTGGAATTAAAGTTAAACCGTTAGTTGGGTCGCATCTCATGGGCAGCAGTGACCACTTGCCATCAGGTGGACTGTCAGTTCGTTTGCCTATACAGTTAATACCGATATAAAAAAATGAATTTGATAGGCTGTTGATAAGATACCTGCGAGGCGGTGAGCAGCGCGGCGCCCATGAGCACGGAGAAGGTGGCGAAGCAGATGGTGTAGTTCTTCTCGTAGCGCTGCGGGCCGCCGCAGGGGTGCGCGCTGAACGCCGTACTGTGATCCAGCGCGATGCCCACGAAGAACATCGCCAGCCCCCAACCCAGCGACCCAAACATCCGCTGGTGACCGTATCTGCAGTAAGAAAATGAAAGATTCGACTTTTTATGCTTTATTCAACTTGAAGAATAAGGAAATCATTTTAATTATGTACTTACCTATCGGCATCCTCGCCAAGCAGCGTGATGACGGCCGAGTCGGCTAGCGTGATAGCCGGCGCGCTGAAGAACTCCCCAATGACGACCAGCAACAACAGCAGGAAGAATGTCTTCTGGATGTCTGGAGTGCGGTACACGATGTACGAGTGCAGCGGCGTCACCCAGTCCGACTGTGTGTTGGGGTTGTAGTTGAGCGCGTCGTCCACGGGTAGCGGCGAGCCCTCGCGACCGGCGGCGGCGGGCCCGCGGAAGGTGCGCGTCGCCGTGGGCCACTCCTCGTCATAGTTCGGCGCCACCACCTGATAGGCGGAGTTGTTGACGGGCTGGACGCAGCCCACGGCCGTCGGCTGCACCCAGCTCAGCGGCAGCGTGAACACCACCCACGCACCCAGCGACGCCAGCAGCAGCGTGCGCCCCTTTTGCCAGCGGTCCGCCAGGCTGCCCCAGAAAGGCGCCGACAGGAACTCCACGAACGGTCGCGTACCGATCAGCAGTCCGCACTGGCCGGCGTTCATGCCCATCTGCTTGAAGTACACGCCCATGAGTGGGAACAGCGAGCCGAAGGCAGAATAGAAGAAGAAGTAGAATGTCTTGACGGTGAGCAGCTCGGGGTCCACGGCGCCGGCTCCGCACATCAGCTCGAGCAGGTCGCTACGCCCGCGCACCTTGTGCGTCGCCTCCTTCGGCGCCGGGTACCTGACCAAGTTACGAATTACATAGAAATCATTTTAAACTTTCATGGTCACTAAAATTATAGTTATTAGCGGGATGCAACTATGTACCTTTTTATTTGTATTTATGCACTGTTGCAAGCGCCATTTTTTCCGCAATACTTGTACTCTACTAAACTCTGTGATCTGGGCACATGGTAGCAATCCAGCTAATAATACTCTAATACATCGAAATTTACAATTTGGATGTGCGTCAGAGATAACGTCGTTAAAAGTACATTTTCAAAAATTAAATGGGAAACTGGGAAAGGACCGTTTTATTTAAAATCTTTTATTTAGCTTTACGTGTCCGATTGTTTGTTGGTAATCAAATCCTTTAATTTAATTTTAACCGATTTGACTTCCCAATTTCTGATATACCTATGAAATATTGCAACCACAATGTAAATAAGATGACAATGCAATATTATTGTAACTGATCTGATGATGGAGTCGTGAGGCAGCCATTAGAAACTTTGGCATAAAAGATGTCCAATCGTGTTTGTATTCGATTTGTCCGTCTTCTCAAGTACTCTGGTTTCAGGTCCTGTATTTAATTATTTTTCAGTAAAATAATACAACTACGAGTAGTGATTTGACATCGTAAATAAGAACTTAAAACAAGCTTGTATTCTTAGTTGAGTAATGACATTAATAAATTACTTTGTCCCAAATAGAAATTATAAATGTCGTTTACTACAACTTTTTAAATAAAAGCTTGCTGTCACGACCTTTTTGTTTCTGCGATGTCTGTTGTATAACGACTGCGCTACGAGATACTGCGATGTATTTCTCGTAGCATTACTTCTCGCTACAATTTACTACAAAAAGTCTACGAACTTTTGTAATAATTCTTACTTTTTAACCCCAGACGGAAAAAGATAGGTTTCACGTGTCTGTGTGTGTGTGTGTATCTGTGTGACCATATGTGGGGCACCGCACCTTCTAAACGAATGGACCGATTTGGATGCAGGTTTTTTTTTTATATGAAAGGTGACAGGATCGAGATACTTCTAAGCTATAATTTATGAATTTCTGCTCAGGTATTGGAGATCATCAGCTATTTTCCCATTTGAGAAGGTTCTTATACATTTCACAGTTGCTATTGATTTAGAATTTGTTGCTTTCATACTTTGGTGGTATTTCCAAGATGTGGTTTTGATGATGGTAGGTGATGACGCAGCATGACGTGCGCAACTCCTCAGCAACTTACAGCAGATATAGCGTGTTCAGGCTCATGAGAATGGTCTCATTCAACAAATGACGATCGAAGCGATAACGCTTATTATAAAATAATCATAATCAAAATCATTTATTCATTTTAGGCTGTAACAACATCCATGAATGTTCTAGACATTCATATATTCATAGATGGCGTAGCTTCTAGAGCTACGCCATCTCGTTGTTTGTCATTCATTAAAAAAATTGAAATAAAAATATTTTTGTAAGTATGGTCGATCGTATGGTATTTATTAGCCTTACGTAATATTTATTTGATTCTGTTTTTAGTATTAATTGTTAAAGCGGCAATAGAAATACGTCATCTCAGAAAATTTCAACTGTCTAGCTATCACGGTTCATGAGATACAGCCTGATGAGAGACAGACAGACAGACGGACAGTGGAGTCTCAAATATATGTTTTAAAATAATGTTGCGCTGAACACGATGAAATAAAAAAAAATATAATAAAATTGAAATCAATTTTTATTGTCAACATTATTTATATGAAAAATGGAATAAATAAACAAAAAATGCCCGAAACATATTAATTAAATCCCAATGCAGCATGTAGGATCGTTCTAAGAAGGATATGTTTTTTTTTTAATTTTGCACCTTTAAATGGACGCGAAAATAATTATGTTGATACCTTTTCTGTAGAAAATTTAATTTTCTACAAGTTTGTATTTAGTTTTTTTTCCCAGCATGTCGCGATATTGATGAAAAAGTCGTTTTTACATCATGTTGCAAATTTTTTTGCACCCTTTGCTGTCAATGCTGCACCCTGCAATTTTAGTATATTAATCTATGAACCCTTACGGAAATTTTCGCGTTGGTTGCAGGTGATCAATTCAAAAAATAATTAATAATGAAACTGGAAGAAATAAATTCAATGAACGCACATATTCTTTAAAAATAGACAACAAGATTATTCGGACAGATGATGCCGTTGCCAACACTTTTGAAAATTTCTTTTCTAGTGCACCGTTTGAATCAACTAGAAATCTTAATTCTTGTTCTAGGTTAGCAATGACCCTCCTTGAGTCAAGCGTTGATAAGTGCAGTAATGATTTTTATTTTAGACATATCAGTAGTGATTGTATTATAAAAACATTTAATTCTATTAATATTAAAAAGACAGAGGATTTATGGGGAATATCAACATATATAATAAAACCGATTATCACTGTCATTGCGCCACAACTGGCCATTATATTTAACGAAATGTATTGATGAGGGAGTGTTTCCAGATCTAATGAAATGTGCTAAAGTTATCCCTCTTTTTAAGGCTGGTGATAAATCAGATCCCAGCAATTTTAGGCCTATATCTGTATTACCAGCGCTAAGTAAAGTATTTGAGAAAATAATTTATAACCAATTACTAGCACACTTTTCTATAAATAAGCTACTTCATTTAAAACAGTTTGGTTTCACTAGAGGCAAAAGTACTACTGATGCTGGAACTGCACTTCTCAAACACATTTTTGATATATGGGAGAGTAAGCACGATGCTATTGGCATTTTTTGCGATTTATCTAAGGCGTTTGACTGCGTTAGCCATGAAACATTGTTAAATAAAATGAAGCATTATGGTGTATCAAATATTTCACTAAGTCTGATACAGTCTTATCTTTCTGCTAGGATTCAGAAAGTAGTTATAAATGAAGCTGAGTCTACAGGAGCACCCATTTCTATGGGCGTGCCCCAGGGTTCAATATTGGGCCCATTGCTTTTTCTTATTTATATTAATGACCTTCCTCACTTTACAAGAGATTTGTGTGAGACAGTACTATTTGCTGATGACACCTCTTTAGTGTTTAAAGCTAGGAGAGGAAATGATTGTTATGACGAAGTAAATTGTGCTCTCTCTGAAGTCCTTCACTGGTTTACGGTAAATAATTTAAAACTAAACTCTAGCAAAACAAAATGTGTTAAGTTTACTTTACCTAATGTGAGGCAGGTTAATACTAGTTTAAAAATAAATGACCAGCCTGTAGAGTTAGTGGATTCTACAAAGTGACTGGGTATTATTTTAGACTCGCATCTGCAATGGGATCCTCATATTGATGCCTTATCAAGTAGACTGAGCTCTGCGGCCTTCGCTGTTAAAAAAATAAGACTCCTAACTGATGTGGAAACGGCAAGAATGGTTTACTTTGGTTACTTTCATAGCGTTATGTCATATGGCCTTTTGTTGTGGGGCTCAGCTGCTAATATAGAAAGTATTTTCGTACTGCAAAAGAGAGCTGTTCGCGCCATATATAATTTAAAGGCAAGAGAATCTCTTAGAGAAAAATTTAAAGAAATTAATATTTTAACACTGGCATCGCAATACATCTATGAAAATATAATATATGTAAGAAGAAACTATGACGCATTTGCAAAAAAAAGTCAAACCCATAACTTAAACACGAGATTTAAGAACAAGCTTGCCGTTCCATGTTTCAGACTCCAAAAATCTAGAGGTTCATTTCTGGGATGTAGTATTGCATTGTTTAACAAAGTTCCCCAAGATCTGATTGAGCTTCCACTAACCAAATTTAAATCTCAGATTAAGAATACTCTTATGAATAAGGGCTATTATAAAGTTAATGATTATCTAAATGATGGACATAGTGTTTCTTGTAATTTCTTATTTGATGGGTATGAGTCAGTTTTGTAACAGTAGTATGGTACCTATCTAATGCCGCTTCCTATATATACTAAATATAAAATTTGTTGTAACTATATATCTATACCCTAAATAATGTAATGGAAGGTGACTTCAGAAGTATGTCTGAAGTCATTTTTCAACTTGACGACTCTGTATATATCAATACAGGGAGAAAAAAGCAGCCCTTGCTGAGTTTCTTGCCGGTTCTTCTCAGTACAAGGTCTCCCGCCGTAGTTTTGCGAACCGATGGCGTAGCTTCTTGACTTTCACAAGTGCTTGTAACAGCCTAGACTGAATAAATGACTTTTCATTTCATTTTTCATTTCATTTCATTTCAAATGGCAAAGTTAAGCTTTCATTGACTGGACTAACTCTACAGTCACAATAGCAGAGGCGCCAGCATTCATTTTATCGCATCGCATCGTCAAATTTCTATGAAAACTTAACAGCGCTCTAGGTTAGTGCGTTCGGCTGCGATCGTTGAAGTTAAGCAACTTTCGCAGGTGGTCGGTCATCGGATGGGTGACCAAAAATCTACTAATTAGAGCTTCTCCGTGCTTCGGAAGGCACGATAAGCCGTTGGTCCTGGTTGCATCTGCAGTCGTTAGCAATACCAATCCTCACTGGGCCCGTGTGGTGGGTCATGACCTAATCTCCCTATTCCATTGAAAGGGAAAGCCTGTGCCCCAGCAGTGGGGACATTAATAGGCAGATGATGATACCTAGTTACATAAAAAGCTCCAATGTGTCCAAGTTCACCACCGCGGAATGTATTAATAAAAATTTGACCTCTTATTTCTGTGTATTTTTGTTTCTTATTTATTCATTCGTTAATCACATAATTTGTGCGTCCCACGTTGAGAGAAAAACTGACTATGTGCAATTATCGCGAACATAAAAAAATTACAGGCATAATATTTATCAAACATAATTTATTTGTTACACAGTGGCACAGCTTTGATTTTTTTTTATAGATAGGTCCGACAAATGACTCCACTCCACCTGATGTTAAGCGAAGGTGAAGTCCAGACGCGAAGATAGCTGGTACAGCAGTTCTACCTGCCACACCAGATATCCTCACCCTGCCGGCCTGCATGTTGCTTCTTCACGCCTC